AAATAGACGTGTTTCCATTGAGCAAATTTATTTTCAAAATTCTAATTTGTGCATTTTCATGGTCAATGGAAACACAGCTATTGAAACGGTTTGTTTGAATCTCGATGCAGTAATGTAAATGTTTCCTCCCACAGGCCTGGCAGGTTTTCATTTATTGTTTTTATAAAACAAAAGTCTCCATGTTGTTGTGTTTGAAGCCCACATCAGCTGCCTTCAGTCACTTTCTTTAGAATGATCTGGACATCGTCCAGAAAGGACAGGAAGTTGATTGTTTGTGAGTTCTCCTCCTGCAGAGAAGCAGGAAAAATGAAAGCAGGCAGATGAGGAGGAGGTTGTCGGGTCTCCACAAGGGGGCCGAGGAGTCCGGGGAAAGAAACGGGAGGAGAAGGAGGAGGAAATCAGGTTAAAGATGAAGAGAATGAAGAGAAGATAAACGAGTAAAAAAGAGAAAGAAGCAGACAAATCTTYATCCATCATAAAGATTTCATTCATTCGGTGCAAACTAACGCCCCCCTCCCTCACTAATGTGAAGAGAAAYGACTCTCTTGGTGCAGAGGCCCCGCCCACTCCCCGCTCTGCTCTGACAGAGCTGAGCTGCTGACAGGTCTCCTTCCACCGCAGCACTGCTGAAAGCTGCAACCCTGAACCTGAACGGAGGCTCGGCCCGGAGGAACCACGCTGGGGGGGTCAGCGGCCCCCATCAGAACCAGACGAGCAGAAAAGCCCTGAACTGAAAGGAACGATGACCTCACTGTCAGCAGGAAGCAGACAGTGGAGCCGTTAATCAGCTGCAGCTCTGAGTCAAACAGAACAAAGTGTTGATGCTGGACGGATCAACAGAACCTCCTGCAGAACCTGAGCTCCTGATTCATCCAGTTTGTTCTTCAAATGTCCTGAAGTGAGACGCCGAGTCACAGACTGCTGATGCACCTTTGTTCTCCCTGCAGGCTGCAGAAAACACCGGAACATGTGCTGATAATATCAACACAAATCATCTTTAAACAAACCGAGTGATTTAAAGACTAAATCATCTGACTGAGGAGGAAAACTCACTTTTACACTCAGCTCTGTTCGCAAAAAGCTTCTGTCAAACTCACTGAAATGTTTTTAGAGCTGTAAAATCTGTTTTAAAGGATYTAAAGGTGAAACATTTGAAAGCGTTCAGGTAAAAAGATTAAAGTCTTCACACCACGTTGAAAGTTAAATATGAAAAGAGTCAAACTGTCCAGGTGTTAGACAGGTAAGATACTGACTCCACCACAGCCTCAGGTTTCCTTCACATAAATCAGGAAACGACCCAACAAAGACGTGGCTCAGGAGCTCAAGTTCAAATAATATTATTCCTTCATCTGTTTTTCTCTGAATTCATCCGGAAACAAAGTAAATATTTTATAAAGTTGTTCATGTTTGATCAAAGCACATGGATCTGATTTTATATTTGTATAAGCGTTTGTGAGGACCAGCTGACGAGTCCTGAATGTACGGCTGAATAAACTCGTTCAGCTGACCGGATTTTAAAAAGAAACGTGAGAAAAATCYGACAGAAATCAGGGACGACTGTCAGGAAACACAAAGAGATGAAGGGAAAGTCCAGGTTAACCCTGAGATTAGCACTGAGATTAACACAGATATAATCTGTAAACAAACTTTCTGAGATCTCAGCTGGTAAATATTCTGAGAAAGAAACACTAAACTGGATAAACAACTAGAAATTATCTGTTTCTAATCTTTTAAAGAAAGAAATCAAGTTAAAACATGAAAACCTGAAACATCCACCTGTGTGAAAATTATCTGCTAAAACTTCATTCTGCTGAAGTAAAAACATAAAACATCTCAGTTTATTGTTATTTACACATCAGTTAACATCTGGTTAAAACAACTCAAATAAGCAGCTGTTATGAACATTTTAGCTGAAACAATTCATAAATCATAAATCCTTAGTGTTTGTGTGAACTCCTGTGTTTGTACCTCTTTAAATCTCACWGAAATATCAGTAAAAYTAACAACTTAAAGCTTGATTAATAGCTTGTAAGTTGATTTAAACGTGTTTTGTTGTTTGGCCTGTTGACGTGTTTTCTTCCTGTTCCCAGCCCAAACTTTCTCCTCCCTCGGTCACGCTCAGAWATCCCAGGAATGTCCTCTCTCCCYGCTCTGCTGCGTCACGCTGAGCTGTTAGCTGAAGCAGCCAACGAGCCAGGGACCTTACAGCAGCCGAACGTTCAACCTGCCAGCTGCAGATGCCTGCCGCTGTTGAAATGAGCTGAAATGAGGAGTCGGCTGAGGTGACGGCAGCCAAAGATGTGTTGAGGGTGGTGTTGGGAAGGGTTTAGRGCAGAAACTGAGTGTAAAACAAGAATCAGAGAACGAGATGATTCTTAGCGCTTTCTGCTGAAAATCTGCCGGCTGGCTTTAAAATGTCTGACACCAGAAACAAAGACAGACGCTGGAAAATACATTAAAATTAGATTTAAAATATATAATTTGTCACATTCAGGCGTCAAACAGTTTGATACGAGTCAAATYAGGCAGAAACGATAAATTTGGTATCAAGTATTTTAGGTTTAAAATGGAACAAAATAAAAGTTAAAGTAACAATTTAAAAAATACTTGCTAAAAAACAACTCACCGTATTTATTCGTGCACAATATGATCTCAAGTATAATATGATCTAATGTATAATACGACCTCATGTATAATTCGACCTCATGTGTAATACGACCTCGTGTGTAATACGACCTCGTGTGTAATACGACCTCGTGTGTAATACGACCTCATGTGTAATACGACCTCGTGTGTAATACGACCTCGTGTGTAATACGACCTCGTGTACAATACGACCTCGTGTGTAATACGACCTCGTGTGTAATACGACCTCGTGTGTAATACGACCTCGTGTGTAATACGACCTCATGTGTAATACGAACTCATGTGTAATACGACCTCGTGTGTAATACGACCTCATGTGTAATACGAACTCATGTGTAATACGACCTCATGTGTAATACGACCTCATGTGTAATACGACCTCGTGTGTAATACGACCTCGTGTACAATACGACCTCGTGTACAATACGACCTCATGTATAATACGACCTCGTGTGTAATACGAACTCATGTGTAATACGACCTCATGTGTAATACGACCTCATGTGTAATACGACCTCGTGTGTAATACGACCTCATGTATAATACAACCTCGTGTGTAATACGACCTCGTGTGTAATACGACCTCATGTGTAATACGACCTCATGTGTAATACGACCTCATGTATAATACGATCTCATGTATAAAACGACCTCGTGTGTAATACGACC